TGCGGGATGCGCGGGGAGGGGGAACCGCGTCGTTGGCGCGGGGTCCGCGGGACGGGGAACCTCGTTGTAGGTTCGGGATGCGCGGGGAGAGGGGAACCGCGTCGTAGGTGTGGGATGCGTGGGGAGAGGGGAACCGCGTCGCCGGTTGCGCGGGGAGAGGGGAACCGCGTCGTAGGTGCGGGATGCGCGTCCGCGGGGACGGAGGAACCGCGTCGCAGATACGGGTATCGCGGGGAAAGGGGAACCGCGTTCGCGCTCGCGCTTGCCGCCGCCGCCTGCGTTCGCCGCCACCGCCACCGCCGCTCGCGTTCGCCGCAGCCGCCGCCGTTGCGCACGGGCCCGTTATCGCTCGCGAAGAGGAAGAGGAAGAGGAGAAGAATTGAAGAAAGTATTATTTTATGTCGCTCGCGAAGAGGAAGAGTAAAGAGAAAATAATAATTATTAATATAATAGAGAAGAAATGTTTATTTAAAAATATATAAAATATGATTTAGTTACAATACTAAATTATCAGACTCTTCAACATAGAATAATTCAACATAGAATGATTTAATTAATCCGGCGCAAATCCGCCTGTCCGTCGCCATCTGCAACAGACAAAAGGAGTCAAATATTTAAAATGTGTAAAAGAGAAACAGAAAGGAAGATAGCTATTTAAAAAATACTTACCCTAGTTGTAAAAGGCGACCATCCTCGTATCAGTGGTTACATCGAGGACGCGCAGCGGCGCTTCCTCCCGCGGGCTCGCTGGTGTCTGCGGGCTCCGCGGCGCCTCCTCACGCGGGCTCGCTGGTGTCTGCGAGCTCCGCGGTGCATCCTCGCGCGCGTCCACCCTTGGCTGCGAGCTCTCCCGCGGGCTCCCCGGAGGCGTTCTCGCCCTTGCCAGAGTCCGCAAAAATTCGTCCTCATACTTCGACGCCATGAGTCTGGCTGCCCGCAACCAATAACGACGCAAACAAACCTCGCATGTGCTAGGCGCATAGTCTTTCTCACAATTAATACACTTAATAGACTGCATAATAAACTGGCAGCGAGAAATCGAGTTGTCAACGACTCAACATCGACTGACTCAAGGGCCCACGGAAACCTGCGAGTAAAAAATGCAAGCCATAGAAATAATTATCTCTCCTACCTGATAATGCAGTGAGGATGATATTGATATATATACATTATATCACACACACGCTCCTCCGAAATGATAGCGGCTATAAAGAATATAAGTGAA